ATAATAAAACAACAGATAGTAATACAAATAAATAAATAAATGATAAATCAATACACTGAGAGGGGAGTATAAAACAATAATCCAGTAATACAGCATAACTCACAACCAAAATTAAAAACCATAAATTTACAGTTAAAATGGTAGCAGCAAGAAATTAAAAAACATCATCATCATCGACAACAGAGTCACCCTTCGAAATATGTGCCAAACAAAAAGGTCCTTCTGCTGGTTTCTGAAAGAGCACAGTGTTGACGACAGCCTAATTTCTTGCAGAATCGAATTCCACAGCTGGGATGCAATGCAAGAGAAGGCCTTCCTCCTTGCCAGCTCCAACAGATAACAAAACCAAGCATAATAGTCTTACACCTAGCCCAGTTCTTTTGTTTAGGGTCACCAATTCTCCATACCTTATACTGAAGCATAACTGACAAGGTCATGAGAAAGTGACCTCAGACCTGCCCCAACTCCTCTTTCATTTGGATACTCAGGGAAATGCCCTTCCTAAAACCCAGGTGGACCATGAAAACCTGAGTCAAGAGTGAAGGGCGGAGCAACCCATGAAGTAGGATTGGGAGCCGGTACCCTCAGGCCATGCCTCACCAGAAGAACCAATCCAAACAGCTCTGCTGGTTCTCCAGAGGGGAAAGCCCTCGTCCTATGGGCCCGGGATGGTGCAAACACCATGCCCCTGGGCTCCCCAGTCCATCCTCCACAAACCAGGGGTGTCCGAGGATGCCACCTATGTCACATAGTACCTTCACAGCAATGTGGCCGGGCCCCTTGTCAGCCCTGATCCCCCTCCTGCCATATCTGCTCACAGGAGAGATGCAGACCGTGTTTATTCAACAGCAGCTTCCCTGCATCACATCCCGGATTGAAGCCCACCACACCTGAGGTGTGCACAGCTCATGGAGGGAGAACTAGACCACCATGGTAGCCACTTCACAGAATGCTCACCTATTCCTGGCTCCTTTGCGGCTTGGCCTGTGGACTGGATGGGAGGGCGCACTGGTTTGGATTCTTGTCGGGCTTTGCTTCAGTTACCACGGCAGGGGCTGCAGTCACCCGAGCAGGGGCTGTAAGATTCAGTAGTGGCTTAGCTGTCTGTGATCCTTGAGTTTCCTGCACTTCCTTCCCCACTTCATCGACATCTTTTTTCCTTCCATTTCCCTCACTAGACAACCATTCTCTCCACGGCCGGTGTTCCTCTCCATTGAAACGCCTGCTGATACTGCCAGTTGTCTCTGCACTGGGCACTCAATCCTCCCTCCACCCTTTTCAATGCTTTGCTGGGCCCCTCGTCCCTTTTAAATCGATGTAACTGCACCTGTTTAAAAGCACCCTTGCCCCAGGCTGCCCTCACTTTTCAGTGCATTTCCACTTACTCTTAGCTCGATAAAAAGGAAATATGAGACTGCTACACTTCTACCAAACTAAAACTGATTTTGACCCCTTTTTGCTGTATCCTGTGAGAAAATAATTGGGTCTTATTTTGTGTTTGCACATAGGAAAAAGCTGAAAGTAAAAATCAATGGCTGAGGGATTCAGTGGAAACTTTCCAAAGCCAACAATAACTCTCCAAAAAGGAGGAAATTTGACTACCCTGTAGTTGCTTTTTAAACAAGACATGGACAAACAGAATCTCCCCTCTCACAATATACTCCCAGCTTGCACTTGCATCAGCCCAGTTCAGTGTGTGCTTGCACACTTGCACTCATGTGGCCCCAGCATGTCTGCAATCAACAAGGGAGGAGAAGGGTTTCTCTTGCTCCGCGTCCCTCCGTGCGTGTTTCTGTTCCTGCACGCGCAGAACATCTTCCGTAGGTATGGAGGCACTGCACACAATTAAGAATCCTGATTTTTCAGGGGAGGCAAAGCCCTCCTTCTCCTCCCATGTCAATTTCATGCAGGGCCTGAATGCTCAAATTCTATTCTAATCTAATTTAATTGAATGCTCAAATTCTAATCTAATCTAATCCTAAATTTCTGATGTGGCCCAAGTATTGGAGATCTCAGTAGTGCCCTCCAGGAACATTGTATTGTGCCTGAGTGTTTCGCTTTTTCCTCCCACCAACCACCCTTCTGCAATCTCTTGATGAGGGTTAAACTCTCCAATTCTTTTTCAGAGCTGTTGCTGCCACTTCTTCACTTCTAAACCACCCCCACCCTGTATATGAGGTAGTCTGGGAGGGCTTGAAGAACGTAATTCTGCCAAGACGTGGCGGAAGGTTCTGCTCACCACTCCCCGCGACTCGCCCTTCACATTCTCCAGGATCTTTTTTAACCCATCAAAACTGTTCGGAGCCCTGCTCCCATTCAGTGCCTCTGCCCTGCAGACCCCAATAGGCTTGCCCTGTTTCTCTGTGGGGCTGGTGAAAAAATGCCATCCTGCCCCACTGGCAAGCCATGGTCATGGGAAGGTAAAGACCTTCAGGATGCAACAGAACACAAGTTTAGAAAGGAAAAGCCCTACAACCCCAACCGGCATAGCTTTGTACTTTAAGGGACTTGCTTTCATTAAAATAAGTAACACACCTGTGGCTTCTATTTGATAACACATGTTGGGTTTTGTACCTGAAATGTGAGGAACCTTCCTTGTTTTCATTTTAGAGCCCAGCCTGCATCACAGGCTGCAGGCTGGGCATGAATCATGTACCACATCATGGGGGAAGTAGATATTGTGCTTTCCTGAACTCTGACCACAGGATTGCATCATTTGTGCAGCATCCCGAGCCACTGGGGTGGGGTTTGTGCCCCTTCATAGCTGTAGCTGCGTTTGAAAAGCATCAAAATGTCACCTGAAGCACAAGGCTGAGATGAAATTGGCTGCTCCTGAAGCATTTGGTGGGAGCAGAGAGAGTGTGGCTAGATTAATCAGTGGGAACAGAGTAACCACCCCATGTGTGGCATCGCTTGTGACCTGGAATGCCACGTCCTGGCATTTGTATACTTTGAGGAATGCAGCAAGAGGTTTGATATGAGGAACGAGCATTTCTTACAGGGAAGTGGCATCCCTGATTAGGTCATTTTCTGTCTCTAATTAAAACATTTTTCTAAACATTTTGCTGTACCTTCACTGTGCATCCTTTTGATGAGTTGAGCAATTGCTAGAAGACACTCCCTAATTTCCAACTGGGCAATCTCCCAGGTACAGATGCTGTAATCCTTATCTTTCAGTTCATCCTTGATCCTTTGGAAGTAAGCTTTCACTATCGGGATGATATCAATGTAATCTCCTGTACCCAAACATGGGCGCAAGTCCCCAATTTCCCTGTTCATCCCTGCCTTAAAAGCAGCTATGGTGTTCTCATCCCAGGCCATTTTGGCATGGTCATCACTGAAGAGATGAAGAATCTCTTGGAGGATCTCTTGTATGGCCACTGTGGCATTCTCTGCCTGCAATTGAGTGAGCCTCTTGAAATTTTCTTCATTGGGCTTAGATGCAAAGTTTATTACATTGTCCATGCATTCTATAGGAATAGTTGATCCCATTTTTTTGGTCAGTAATTCCAGATTGGCTTGGTTGGTTTCTTCTAGCTTGTGTCGAGATTCATCGCAATCCTGAGATGCAATTCCAGTGAAGAATAACATCACTAGGCAAATAAGTGGAACCCAACTCCTTCCAATCACGCTGGAGGTGGAAGGGATGCATTCTTTTTCTGGAGTGCAGAATCCAGAAGACTGGGTTTTGGGACAGATGCTCCAGTTGTTATGACTTGTTTGGGCCATAACATTGCATTTAAAATTTCAGGGACAAAAGCGTCCTTTTTTTGGTTTTCTGAAAAACATATTCTATTTGGACTTTCACTTTTGTCCTTCCACATCCATTAAAAATCATACAGACTAAAAAAGGATTCCTGGTTTTATTAGTAAAAATTTCACCAAGAACATGAGAAACATGAATGGCAGTTGCAGTAAAAGACTATGCCCCTAGCCTATATACAATGATTTAAGTGTCTTTGTATCTATTACATGGGTACAGCCATATGGATGTAGAACTCTGAGAACTGAGAGTGCAGTTGAAAATTCCAGAAAAGCAGGATTCTGGATTATGCAGAGAGAATCCTAATGACGTACAATAGTATCCGTGGAAACCCCATTCAGTTGTTCAGCTAACCTGCCCGCATAGCTGTACATGTGGAAGGAAAGCAGGGGGTTGGACTCAATGGTCTTATGGGTCCCTTCCCTTCCCTTCCAACACTGTTTGCTGTACTGTGTGAATATTTGGATCGCCTGAGTGTCTCAAAGAGTGAGATCTTAAAAATAGATAGGCTAAGATGGGACATACATCTTGGCAAGCTGCACCATTTCCCACTGACCACTGGATCCTTTCTTACATAACTGGCATGGTGGATTCTTGATGAATTTAGAAGTCTTAGAAGGGCTTATGGAATTCTCTCACGTCTTGCTCACTTAGCATTGGACAGCTGTCATAAACTGAAATGGATCGGTTGGTATGTAACACATCAGAGCTGAGCTGAGCCAACCTCCTAAGTGGAACTGGTAGATGCTCTCCAGTGCCATCTTTACTTGGCTCAGAGAAGTGGTTTTGAGGTTGATCCTCAGACTATGCCTCTGCCTTGTATTAAAGTCCTTTAGCAAGTTCTGATAGTCTCACTGAATGGACTTCTGGAAGATGAAAGTTCTGTGACTGGCCAAATCCACCATGGCAAGCACCAATGTGCTTGCAAGCACCAATGACGTTTCTCCAAATTCCCAAGGTACCCACAATTCCAAACATGTTGGGTACCATGTTATACCCCTGTGCCACAAATCGTCTCAGGTCTCAAACATATAATAAACAGGAGTCACAAAGAAACCCTTTGCACCATTCCAGTTCTGCCACTTCATACCTGTCAAGAAGATTCCCACATCAGACTTGTGCCTGCAGTGTGGAGCAACCAAGGCCAAAAGTTAGAGGAGGAATTCAGTCTTTGTGAGCTTGGACAGGCTTGTTCTCCTATTTAAAAAAGGACCATTGCCAAAGATTAAATACAAAGGTTGAGCTATTGCAATCCTTATCAATTAATATCATTTCAACCACTGGTGCAGTGCTTAGAAATGTTAAAATTCACATGCTTACCTGCTCCTGATACAAAATGGATAAGATTTAGTGTTTGCTACAGCAGGGGCATGCAGCAGTCTGTATATTAAAAAGACAAAGAATCCGTCAACAACATTCCTTCAACTACCAGTGGAAACACAGGTAAGAATGGTGGAAAACCCTCTTCAACCCCCTAACAGCCTCTAACCCACAGCGATTTCTTGTGCTCCTCAAACACTATCAGTTATCTCTACTTTGTAAAAATACAGCCACACCTGCAGACAAGGCAAAGACAGTGCCAGGTGAACACATGCAAAATGGCACGCTCTGCAACTGAATTGCAAGAGGGAGAAAAAGCAGGCTGAATCTGCCCACTGCTATATCTCTGTGCCAGATGGATGGCAATCGTTGTTTCATTGTTTATCGTCCTATGGTCTTCATGTGACTTTTGTCTTTGTATGTTTAACTTTTAACTTTTATTAACTGCCCAGAGAGCCTTTGGCTATTGGGCGGTATAAAAATGAAATACATAGATAAGAAAATTCTGGAATAAAAGGACAAGGGCAACAGGACAGAAATGGATAAAACATGATAAAGGTATCCCAGAGTCTAATTACCTTATTTTTCGCTTTATAAGATGCACTTTCCCCCCCTCAAAAGTAAGGGGAAATGTCTGTGCGTCTTATAGAGCGAATGTGTGTGTGTTTGACACCCAGGATGCTGCCGGCCCGCCTGCACCACGTGGCACCACCTGGCCGGCACATGCTCAGTGCGCGCTGCTCCACCTCCCCCTCCAGCGCAGGTGAGAGCTGTGCCGCTCAGGGGGAGCGGTGCGGAGGAGGAGCAGCCATGGGCTTTAACCCGCCGGCTGCACGGAGAGACGGACTGCTCAGCCCCACGGCCCGGAAAGACCTGCCGCCGCTGCCGTGCAGCCCGGAAGACCACCGCTGGCATGCTGCCATCCCAGCTGCACCACACCTGGCCAGCACGCGCTCGGCGTGCCCTGCTCCGCCCCCCTCCTCTGGCGCAGGTGAGAGCTGTTAATCACAGGTCGGGGTGTTTTCAAATGGCAACCCGTCTTTTAATGAAGCCCATGGGGAAGTGATGGGGAATGTGCCTGTGATTACCAGGAAGCTTTCCATGGATCCCTCCTCTAAAAACTAGGTGCGTCTTATGGTCAGGTGCGTCTTATAGAGCAAAAAATATGGTAAAAGTGAACCTATGTCTGGACTCCTGTGTGTTCTTTCTTCTCCTTCCTTCTCAACCATGTCTTACATTACCCTTCCATTTTCCTCCTCTTCACTTACTGTCTTCCTCCTGTTCATCCTGCCGGGAATATGACTCCAACCAACAGGCCATCTGGCAGGTGGGTGGCATGTATTAGTGAGGTCCAGTGTGGGTGCCCTTCATTGCAGCTGTCTAACTCTGTCTGTGCTGTTCCCTCTGGAAGCACAACCATAGCCAGGCAGAGAGGCCCAAAGGAGCATTGGTATTGGCCAGGCTCACCCTTGTCTATGATGGGAATAGGGCTTCAGGGAAGAGTCCACCAGCACAAACTCAGTGGAGCTTCCTGAAGAAAGCATCTGAGCACAGCCTCCAGAACTTCCTATGAGGCCACGGCCAGGCTGCTGTCATCATCTCCGATATAGCTCACTGGTAGCACACCGGCTTTGCTTGGAAAAGGTCCCACATTCAGTCCCTGGTATCCTCTGGTAGGACTGGAAGAAATTCTGCCTGAAACCCTGTAGGGCCATGGCCAGTCAGAGTTGGCAGCACTGGGCTAGAAGGATGGAGGCAGCTTCGTGTGTAAAGTGGTTTATCCAAGCTTGGCACACCTGTGGCTTCTCTCCGTGTGGCTGGGCTCCCGTCTGTGCTTTTTCATTGGAGGGCTGGGTGGCCTTCAGTGGCCAGAACCCCTCTACTTTAGCTGGCCGCAATCCTGGCTTCAGCCAAATGTTGTTCAGTTGCCGATTGCATCGTGTGTGGGTGATGACACTCGCAGCCACCCCACCCCTCGTCCCTGGGGCAACAGGGGAGAAGATCAATGCAGCGGTGAGTGCCAACTCTGCCTCATGTCTCCAGCAGCCATCCAATTACTGGGAGCCTAGGAAATCAAACAGTATTGAACCACCACAATGTGGCGGAGATATAGCCAAGAAAATCTGGAGACCCAGTGCAAGACTGGGAGCGGTGATCTTGGTGGCAGGAGAAGCTCCTTTGAAAACCAGAGAACCAGGGCAGCTGGAGATGCTTCCTGGCTGTGTGGCATGAAGATGTTCCTCATGCTCCATAAAAGTATCTAAGTCCTCATTTCAATCCAGTTTATTCTTACCTTTACTTTCTTCTTATATGGGATAGCAGCTTGAGGATACAGGAAGAATAGCGTTTTCTGGGTTGGAAAATATTGGATAATACAATGCTCCATATCATTTCCTTATTTCGAATGACAGGAAACTGGTTTTCTGAAAAGGAACAGCAACAGGGAAAAATCCACCGATACTATCTACTTCAAAAATAAATTTTAATTTTGCAGCCCAGTCTAGTTGTTATTTAATTACATAATAGCAAATAATCAATGTTTCTGTTTCTTCTCCAAAATCTAGTAACATACTTTTACCGTTGCCAATTTATTTGAGGTATCAAAGGCATTTTCTCCCTATCGAATATTAGTGGTAGTCATGCTAATAAATATATACATAGATGAATAGAAATGAATATGAAGAAGAAACAACCTGTTTTCAACAATTTAAGTTTTTCTTGGTGGTCCTCCTGATAATTTCTAAATATCCATCTGAAAATAAGAAATAAAAATGAAACCTTGGGAAAATCTGAAGAAAGAGAAAGAAGCAAGAAGAAAGTACAGAAAGGAAGGTTTAAATAGGAAGTCACCGTGCAAAGATGCAACAGAATCAGCACAATCCTTCTACGGCCTGATTTCCAGATTTTGCACTGCAGAAGAGATCGCGTTTCTTCATGGCGACCACGACGGCACATGGTTGGCTTCTGCTCATGGGCCTCGTGGCTCTCCTCAAGGG